GGTATCCTTAATAAAAAGGGTATTTTAGTTTGTTGACTTTTCAAAACTTCAAGGGGTTTTGTGAAACACCCCAAACTTTAGGGGAGGTTTCGTCCAAATCACACCAAAGTTCAGGGGATGGGGGAGGTTTGTGAAATTTATTTTTCTATTGGTAACTGTCACCTATGTTCTTGAGCAGTCAGAGCCAAAGAGCTGAAACACAACAGAAGACCAGTAGAGGGGCGTGTACAGAGAAAGGCATTCATGTCTCTATTTTTCCTTCTATTTGCATATTTATTCTCTTTTTATCTCATTGTCATAAATTAAAAGGTAAGAAGTTAGTGCTTTTTTTTCCTTTGCTTTTAAAATATCTTTTGGAATTCCTGTTAAACTTGCAGACACAATTTTCTTTGTTATGTTTTATGAACAGTTCGATGACATGGGCCATCATGGTACAAAAGTTATTGTGTTCAATCTGTGGTTCAATGATGGTGGGGATATGGAACTCGACTTTGACACTGATGCTGAGGTTAGTATTTTTTAAAGAAAGATGTCTCTCCAGTAGCATTATTAATGCTTATGAGATAATTATAAAATAAAAAAAAATCTGAGTGATGCTTACTGTTTTACTAGTAAGTACTGTAATTATTAAGTTTTCAATCAAAAGTCTGTTGTTATTACTGACTTTACATTAGATACTTGTTCTATGGACTTAAACTTTTTTATTATTTCTATTTTGATGCCCATGTACATCTCTTGCTAAATTTTTTGTTGATTAATCAAAATGTTAACTGATGGCCTTTTCATACTTTAATCATCTGTCCTGAAAAATCTATGAATTTTGTATCCTTGTGATTATGGTCTGTTAATATTCCTTTCCTGACCATACTGTTTATGAAGTTTGGAGTTTGAACTTCTAATCATTAATCTGTTTTCATTGTTACCCTCTCCATCCTATTTCGCACTGAGATGTGTTTTCTTTGTTGGTTGCAGGATATCATGATCAGTGGAGCACCCAAAGTAATGGAGTCAAAAAATACTATGAAGATGCTGAGACAAACTCATTCTGCAACTAGATTTCGTTATTCTCTTCGTGTATGTTGTTTTTTGAAGTTTTAATTTGACTCAATAGCATTTTGCTAATATCTGAAATTTCACAGGTCTATTCGTCCTTCCTATATCTGCATCTGCCGACAAATTTTAGAATAATTTTGCGTGGCCAAGTGGTTCAACCCCACCACATAATCAATGATCTCAATTTTATTGAATGTATCAAATATAAACCACAAGTTTATGGAATCGAAGAGGTTTGTAGAGAACTCGTTTTGATTATCAATAGTTTTGTTACTTGTCCTTCTTTAATAATTTATTTATCATCACATCTCTTGCTTTTTCTATCTATTATAGTCCAAGGGATCTTTTTTTTTTGAGATAAGTCCAAGGGATCTTTTGGTACCAGTAACTCTCTGTTTTGCATGTGGAATACTTTTTTCTTTATACTGGTATTACATGTCTCTCTTCCCAAATAACTTAGCAAACAGATACTAGGTTATCTTTCTTATTCATGCTTTCCACTTTTTCCCTGCAATTTTACATGTGAATGTTTTCAGCAGATGACCCCAATGCTAAAATAGTGAACCCCCCCCTCCCCCCCCAACCTCCAACCCCCAACCCCACATGTTTTTGAAGCCAGGTTGTCTTTCTCTCTTGATGAGAGATATTTATTCTATTTTCATCCTGTACTTAACTTTCTCTTGTTATTTTTGTTCGTCACTCTTGAGGTGTTATACTGTATAACATAGCTTCATACGAAGTACATATGCACTCTCAAAATTTCAATCCCTTTTCATGTTATACTGCATAACCTAGCTTCGTACGAAGTACATACGCACTCTCAAAATTTCAATCCCTTTTCATGATCGTATATCTAGTCAGTATCTCTATGGTATCAGATGATGTTGATGTTTTCATGATAGGGTACAATTTATAGATTTGGGATGTCTAGGAACATTAACTTCTCTTTCTCCCTTTTATTTTGAGTTTCTTTAGGTGTTGATAGGTTTCAATAAAACTCGTCCATAACTTAGCAAAACTATGTGAAGCTGCTCCAAAACCGAACCAAAAACTGAACCAAAACCGACTGATACAAACACGTAGCAGCAGAAACTTGGTAAAATTGAAATTAGTGTCCGATTTCAGACTGGTCATTACAAAACTGTATAACCTTCTTCCTTGGAAGAAATTTTTTTTTTTGGGGGGTGGGGGGGTTGAGGTAGGGAACCTAGTTTGCTGACAAATTTCAATGTTTAAACAAAGTTTTTTGAAAGTTTTGTGATGAATACTTGCAGTATCCAATTTATTGGCTTATAGGCATTTTTTCCCTCTTAAAAAGCATTGGAAATGTGCTAGAAAATCCAGCTTATTCCAGTCAAGTCTACGAATTCTTTGCTTTATGCGCTGTAGATATCTTTCTGAAGTGCTGATATTGTGACCTTATGCTGCATAATTTCTGGTGTCCAACTCCAAAACATGATCCTTTTGGTGGATTAATCACAATGGAAAGTATTAAATAACAAGTCCTTATTATTAGATGAAAGTATTAGAATTATTATTAGTATATGTCTGCTGTTTTCTTTATTTTGGCTTCTCTATAGAAAATTTTAAAGGGTATGGATTTGATGCTCCATAATTTCTGACACAGACCTCATGATACGATTTGAGGGTTACTATTTTATACTCATGCCCCAAGGTTGAGCTCCCTTGGCAGACTGAAACTTGAACTTACTCAATAGTATATTTTCAATCCACTTTAAATATGTGGATGTTGGGATTTGAACCCGCATTGCTCCAATAAAATGTAGGTCCCATCCACCACATCAAAACTCTAAAGTTTTGGTGAAGATTTAGGGTTATAATTTTATATTCTAACAGTTACCTCTCAATTGACAAGTACTTTCCATTAGATGTGATAAATATCATTGTTTGAGTGTGTTTGACCATTACTTGCTGTTTATTATTTCCTTTTAGATTTTCATGATAATCGTTTTCTTGTCTGTTTTCTACTTTTCCATCAGCCTAGCATCATCACGACCATTGGATTTTTGGAGGGTGCTCCATCTATTGGTATTCATGGATTCAATGTCTATCACAAAAATCGTCTTATACTGGTAAGACTAAAAGTTTGAGTATCTCATGGCTCATTTATATTGCCATGTCAATGATTCTGTTTTTCTTACCTCTTTCAATACTAAAAGTGCCTTGTTTTCGTTGGTTTATTTTTGAATCTATAGAAACTAATAAATGAATGTGCGGGTACTGTTGCTTAAGAAAGTTATGTTATTTTTAAGTTTGATGGATTTTGTTGCTGCTCTTTGATTTGTGGACTTCATACTTGAGCTGTTACTAGTAAGTTGGTTTCTTTATGAACTAATTGGAATTTCTTTGGCACGGGGCTTTTATCTTTTTTTTTTGTCTTAGCCGGAAGCTGAAGCTTGATTTTCTGTATATCAATACGAGGATATGGTTGGTAGGAAATGGAAAATTTTCATTGTTAACATGGATTAGTTAACTCTTGGAAGAGTAAACCAACTATGGATTCCTCAGGATGGGTAGTAGAGCATTCTATTTTTTAAGACTACATCCAGGGACAGATTTGGGCTTTAGCCTAGGGTGCAATTGCACCCCACGACATTTCATAATTGCCCCTCCCAAAAAAAAAAAGAATTGCACCCCAATGGACCAATGTTTGCTTATATAACCAATTGGTAGAAGCCTATTTGAGCCCATTTGCATTAAATAGCCCATTCCATGTTAAAAGTCAGCAACTTCACTCATCTACCGCCCACCTACCTAGCTACAACAATCACCTAACCCTAATAGTATTTACCTACCCCTAAACCAATTTTATAAATAACCCCTAAGTATTTGTTTGAGATCATCCCAGTAGCAAAGAAAGAAAGAGGGACGGAGAGAAAGAGAGAAAGAGAAACAGAGAGATAAAGATAGTAGTGTGTTGTAAAAGAGTGTAGTGGTTTATAGTAGAGAGAGTATTTGTATTTGAGAGAATATCGAGGTTGTACTACTAAAGAAATATTAATAAAAATATTTCTTAGTGTCCAGTGTCCACCACTCTCAATTCAATAAGTGGTATCAGAGCCTGACTTAGGATGCATGTATCTGCTTATCGTATGTTATGTGGCTACTTCCAAAGGTAGATTTTCTATATCAGAAAATAAGTTAGATTATTATTTACCCTTTGAAGGCACTATGCATTATTTACGAGTACGATACTATTAATAAGTACGATTACTATTCATGAGTAAGGTTCACAAGTATAGTTACTGTTCACGTGAAATAGTAGAAGTTGCAGCTCATGATAGAAGCAAGGCGGTCAGGGACCGGCTCTCTCCTACGGTGATCCTATCAGCATTCTTGAAGGCCGAAGTTCGTTCTTAGTTCGGGACTGTGAAGTTGGTTGGTCAGGAACTAGATTTGTGTGGAGATATTGAAGCAGTACCACATTACGATGGCGGATCTAGCAAGTACGACTACACTTAAAAAACTCAATGGTAATAACTATAACTACTGGGAGGCGTGTATAAAGTCCTATTTACAAGGACAAGACCTCTGGGAGGTCATCGGAGGTGCTAAAATTACAGTACCTTAGGAAGCTAGCGAAGCGCTAAGGAAGTGGAACATCAAAGCCGGCAATACTGAGTATGTGCTGAAGACGACAGTAGAAGATCTCGTAGACTATATGCGAGATGTTAAAACTCCGAAGGAGACATGAGATACGCTCGCGATACTCTTCTCGAAAAAGAACGATGCTCGACTTCAACTCCTGGAGAATTAACTGATGACCTTGCAATAGAAGGATCTGACAATCAGTCAGTGCTTCAAGCAAGTAAAATCACTATGTTCAGATATCACTCAGCTAGATCTAGATTATAAAGTGTCTGATGCAAGGATGAGGAGAATAATCATCCACGGTTTGAGACCGGAATATCACGGACTCGCTGCTACTACACACAGCTGGCCGACTCAACTAATATTATTAGAGTTAGAGAGTTTGCTCGCTACACAGAAAATCCTTTTCAAACAAATGGCCGGAGTTTCAATAAAAAGTAAAGATGAAGCATTCTTTAGCAGCAAGGAGAGAGGCAAACTAAGAGGCGCGAGGAAAGAGGAGCATTGAAAGGCTGGTTTAAGGAGGCAGCTAGGATGACCATATACCGACAAAACACAACAGCATGAGGAGCAAGATGATCGTCGAGCAAGGAGACCTGACAGTAGCTGTCACAACTGTGGGAAGAAAGGATATTTTGCCAGAGACTGACACTACAAGAGAAGATGCAATGCTGTAACTTCGCGCAGATGTCAAGATGATGAAGAAGAATAGGATGCCCAAGTATCTATAGCCATTATTAAAGATGCACCAGTCGACTAAGACGAGAGGTTGTTGGTATGACACTAACCTCAATTGTAGAAGAATCTGAATCCTCATTTGTGCTGGTTTCAGATCGGAAAGGAATCAACTATAATAAAGATTGGATCGTCGATTCTGATCGTTCTAACCACATGACGGGAGATGAGGAAGCTTGTCAACATGAAGTTGTATAAAGGTGGCTGAGAAGTTGTGATAGCGAATAATTCAAGATTACCTGTCACATACATCGGAAAGATTGTGTTTACGCCGCGTTACAACCCTGATCGTGTACAACTAGAAGATGTATACCATATATCGGGTATGAAAAAGAACTTTCTATCTGTTTTTCAATTAACTGCTTTTGGAAACTATGTAGTATTTGGGCCATAAGATGTAAAAGTCTATCAAAACTTAAAACCACCATGAGAAGTTGTCATGGAGGGACGAAAGGTAGAATCTGTCTATGTGATATCGGCGGAATCGACATACATAGATAAAGCCAGAAAAATGAGATAGCTGATCTGTGGCATGCTCGGCTTGGTCATGTGAGCTATCACAAGCTCAAAGATTATGATGAAAAGTCAATGTTGAAGGATCTTCCACACTGATTCGAGGAAGGACTATATGCGGAGGTTGTAAATATGGTAAGACGCATCAATTACCATACTAGTAGTCACAATTCAGAGCAAATGAACCTTTAGAGCTCATGCATTTAGATGTATTTGGTCGAGTGAAGTAAGAATTGATAAGTGGCGTGCGGTACATGATCATCTTTATCAATGATTACTCAGATATATCTGGATTTATTTCTTAAAGGAAAAGTCTGAAGCACTCTCCAAATTCAAGCGATTTCGAGAAGAAGTCAAAGGAGAACTCGGCAAGAAAATTTGTTGCTTACGCACAGACAACGGGGGAGAGTACACATTGAAAGAGTTTTACGACTATCTTAAGCAACACAAGATTCAGCGACAGCTGACGTGTTCAAATACTCCAAAGCAGAATGACATAGCCGAAAGAAAGAATCGTCATCTCGCAAAAGTTGCAGAAGCATGCTTCATGTCAAGAACGTGATAAGACGTTTTTAGGTTGAGTGTATGAAGACTGTGGCCTACGTGATCAATTGGCTACCACAATCAAAATTGGAGTTCATATCACCATTTCAGAAGTTATGAAATGTCAACGCAACTGTAAGTTATTTCAGAGTTTTTGGCTGCATATGTTATGTCTTCGTGTTTGATCATCTTCGCAACAAGTTCGACAAAGAGGCTGTAAGATGTATTTTTGTGGGGTATGACAGTGAAAGAAAAGGATATAGATGCTGTGATCTCACAATCGGACGATGCTATACATCAATGAATGTTGTATTTGACGAAGTCTCATCTTGGCGTGCTTCATAAGAAGTTGCGCTACCAGATTATAAAGATTTGGAGAATCGGCTACAAGAGAAATCAGGGGAGCGAAGTCAAGAAGACTTGCGTCAATCAGAGAAGATAGAATCAAGCTCTTCAACATCCTCAAAGGAGAATAATCCATGGAAGACTGATATTTATCAGACAACACCAGAAGAAGTGCGCCCAAACCAGATAGAGGATATCAAAGAAGAACCAGTTGAACTCTAAAGATCAACGATACCCAGAAAGCTGAATCCTAAGTATGCCAATGCTGTCATTATGGAAGATGTGAATGAGCCATCTAGTTTCGAGGAAGCATACAAAATTATTGAATGGAGATAAGCAATGGAAGAAGAAATTCAAGCTCTATAGCAGAACCAAACTTGGGAGTTGGTGCCAAAACCCAAAGATGTCAAATCTATCTCCTGCAAATGGGTTTACAAGGTCAAGACTCGACCGGATAGGTCGATTGAGAGATACAAAGCACGCTTGGTGGCTCGAGGATTCTGTCAACAGTATGGATTGGATTATGATGAGACATTCAGTCCAGTTGTCAAGGTAATAACAGTTCGAGTTCTTCTAGCTCTAGCAGCTAGCAAGAGTTGGAAGCTTTGGCAGATGGAAGTGAAGAACGCATTTCTACACAGTGAGATGGATCGAAAGATTTACATGGAGCAACCAATCAGATTTGAGAGCAAGAAGAAGAAAAGATATGTTTGCAAACTAAAAAAAGCTCTCTATGGACTGAAGCAAGCTCCGAGAGCTTAGTATGGTAAGATTGGTGAGTTTTTAGTTTAAAGTGGATACTCTCTTGTTCCTGCAGAGTCTAATTTATTTCTCAAACAGACTGGCAATAGGCTAGCAATCGTGTTGGTCTATGTGGATGACTTATTCCTAACTGGGGACAATGAAGTGGAAATCCAAAGAATGTGGATAAATCTCTCAGTCAGGTTTCAAATGAAGGAGCTTGGGGTGCTCAAGTATTTCCTCGGATTGGGGGTTGACCGAAGGATGGACTATTCATTTGATAAGAAAAATATGTGAAGGATATGCTGCTCGAGCATGAGATGTTCAACTGCAAGTCAGTCTCAACATCGATGGAGACAAATCTTAGACTGTGTGCACATGAAAGAAAAGATTTGGAAGATCCAACTATGTATCAACAACTAGTTGGAAGCTTGATCTATCTAACGAAGATAAGACCAGATATTTCATTTGCTGTTGGTGTGATGAGCTAATACATGCCAAAGCCAAAGAAGTCTCATTTAGAAGCAATCCGAAGGATCCTAAGGTACGACAAGAGTACAATTCATTATGGTCTCATATAAAGAAGGAGAATAATATGAGGTCTATGGCTATTGTGATGCTGACTATGCTGGAGATCATGACACTCGAAGGTCTATTACTGGATACATGTTTAGTCTCGGTTTAGCGGCTATATCTTGGTGTAGCAAAAGACCGTCAATAGTGTCATTATCAACTACAGAGACGGAGTGCAGATCAGCAGCGATGACAGCTCAGAAAAGCATGTGGCCTTTTTAGTTAATGAGAGATTTACATCAGTCCACAGACTGCTCAGTAGCTTTATATTGCGATAATCAGTCTGCAATACGATTGATAGATAATCCAGTTTTTCATGCTAGGACGAAGCACATCGAAGTGCATCATCACTTTCTTCGAGAGAAAGTTCTTCAGGAGGAGATCGTAATGAAGCCAATCGGGATCAACAAACAGATAGCTGACATATTCACCAAAGCACTAAGTACTTTAAAGTTTACAGTATTTCGAAGTCAGTGTGGACTCATGGATAGAGAAGTCGCTACTGAGGGGAAGTGTTAAAAGTCAACAGCTTCACTCATATACCCCCTACTAGCTACAGTAATCATCTAACCCTAATAGTATTCACCTATCCCTAAATTAATGTTATAACTAATCACCCAAGTATCTGTTTAAGATCATTCCAGTAGTGGAGAGGGGAGGGGGAAGAGAGAGAGAGTAGTGTGTTGTAAAAGAGTGTAGTAGTTTGTAGTAGAGAGAATATTTATATTTAAGAGAATATTGAGATTATACTACTAAATAAATATTAACAAAAATATTTCTTAGTGTCCACCACTCCTCTCAACTCAACATTCCAGTTGAGTTTAGCACATAATTATGTAACCAATAATTATACTTCTATTTTAGATAAATAAATGCTGGTTATTTGCTGCCTTAAAAACTTTTTCTGGATCTGCCACTGATTACATCACTTAGTTTGGCTCGTTTAGGTTAAAATTCCAGTATAATTTTCCAGAAGAGCTATTTCAGATGACCTTTAGATTCATGCAAACAATATTCTGTTCCTTCAGAAGATTCCTAACTACATTGTTAGTCAAAGTAAGTCTTTGTTTTATGGGTGTGGGAAATGTGTTTGATCAAGCCATGTAGATCACAACAAGGGATAAAATAACAAATTAATTATATGCTAGTTGTTAAAAACAAAAAAGAAGGTTTACGTGCCAATTTTACGGTGCGCTTAAAGAGTTACACATATAGATCTTATAGGTAAATATAATCTAGGAAATCAGTCTATGTAAATCTTGCATCTTGATACCTTTTGAAATTTGCCTGATGCATACCTTGACGCTCTTAAGTTTCCTCTCCTTGCGAATTCTTCACTGTATATGTTTTAGAAGTGGAAATGGATAATAACTGACAGCAAAGTTGAGAGGGATTATCATTTTAGCATTCTATGGTTACCTGAATATTAAGGTGTGGCTAATATAAGTAACTTGTCTGCACACATGGACCTGCTATAGAACCCTACTAATTGAGCATTATTTAGCCTCTTGTTATGATTGTAGTTCGGTATTTTGCATGAAAGATGTCTATATTTAGCGCTCAACCAAAGTAAGAATCTGCATCTATATAGTCTTAGTTGTAGATCCATGGATCACATTAACTTCAGCGGCAACTAGACTCAGGCATTCTAAGTTAGTGGCCACTAAGATGAAGCTGTGGGATTTTTTTTCTTCCATTTTGTTATGGGAGCCTTGACATTTTCCATGTGAGAAATTCCTATTAATTTTTTGAGGGCAGACCTCTGAACCCCGGCAACGAGGTTCTTTTTTGTGAACCAAAAATAAAAAAAATAAAATAAAATAAAAAATCCATTATATCTGGCTATGAAATAGCACCATCACCATCATTGCTTTTCTGGTTGAAGCCAGAGTCACTGGTCAAACTTCAACTAGATGGCCTCATTTACTTCTCTCTGCCATCAGCTCTACTTTCGAACTAGTCACAGACACTTAACCTTTAGTTGAGCCGGATCCACATGCGGACGCTTAACTTTTTGGCTTCACACCGTGAAGCAATGGCTTCATGCCTTAGAAAAATCACACTGGATTTTCTTCAACTCTATTCTTTTATTCATATTTTATCATCTAAATACAAAGAAAACCTACAATCTTTTATATAGTCTCAGATCCTATCTCTGCTGAAAGTTATAATACAAATAAACTTCTAATCCTACTACAATTTGAATTCCAACTAATCTTATCTTGCTTGAATTTAAATGCACATGAACTCTATTTTAAAATTTAAAGCTGATCAATAATATTTTAACTTATCTTGTTCTAACTAGTCTTCCCATTGATGCATAACTCAACCAAATATTGATTTGGTCTTCAAATTGTCCTACATCTGTTCTCCCTTTATTAGAGAAAATTTGACCTCAAGTCTTAAAGAAGGATGAGATGATAAACTCTTCAACTTTTATGAACTTTGATTGCACAGTCTCCAAGGTCGTCAACAATATTTGCAAAACTTGATAGCAGGTTGGTGGAGGAGTGTCTGGCGTGACAAACTCAATCTTCACATTGTCTTGAACAACTGGAAGTGACTTGGCCTGTATGATGGTCTGATTATGCAGTGGTACTTCAGGCATGGACTTGGGCTCGGGTTCAAGCTCTAATTCTGGCTCGGACTCTGGATTGATTTCTTGATCCGATTCTAGTTTTTGTTTGATCTTGGACTCTTATCAGAATTTAAATGCCAGTTTTTAAAACTTTTTTCTTGATATCCTTATCTAATAAAAGTATAATACGGTCAGTACATTGGATTGCTCCAGTAGCTGAGGTCACAAAGTCAGGCTCTGGCTCGCGTTGCAATTCTGACTTTAGGACGGGCTTTGGTTTTGACTCAGGCTCAGACCGTAACAATAACAATGACACTAACCTTTAGCTTCTGCTCTCAACTTACACTTAACATATTAGTACATCTCACAGTCTGACATATCATAAAAATTAAACAAATCTTAATTCTTGCATCCATATTTCAAAGTTAGGAGTTTTCCTCATATCCATCCAATCCATAAAAATAAGAAACATTACAAAACTTCATAGGGTTAAGTTCATATTGTTGTGAAAGAGGAAGCAGATTTTTGCCCATGATAATTGTAGACCAATGAACTTGCTTTAAAACCAATTGATGCGGAAGAAAAAACTTCAGATGAAAGAGTACCGGGAACAATAGCCATGAACAATACCTCTTTTTCTTTTTTGCATTTTTTATGAATTAAAAAGCTAACAAAAAAGAGATAAAAGAAACGGAAAAAGATAGATGGTTAGACCGGATTCACTCACAGACATCTAACCTTTAGTTAAGCTGGATTCACACACTAGTGCTTCACAGTTTGGCTTCACACCGAGAAACAATGGTTTCATGCCTTAGAAAAATCACGCAAGATTTTCTTCAACTCTATTCTTTTATTCATATTGAATCATCTAAATAAAAAAGCCTACAATCCTTTATGTAGGGTTTAAAAACCTATCTCTACTAAATTCAAAATACAAATAAACTTCTAATCCTGCTACAACTTGAATTCGAACTTTTCCTATCTTGCTAGAATTTAATGCAAAGCTCTACTTTCAATATTTAAACCTAATCAAACAATATTCTAACAACTTATCTCATCCTAACTAGTCTTTTCCGATTGTGGCTCTTCAACCGAATCTTGATTTGCTCTTCAAATTGTCTGACATCATAGACTCTCTAGGATCTCCTCCTATTTCCTATCCGAATTTCATGCCTAACAAAAATCTAAACAACATTCCTGGAGGTAATACTGCTAGATCTGTTGTACAAACCTTAGACATTTAATGTATCCTCCTCACCCTTACACCCTACAGAGAAAAGAACCTATTAACACTTCCGAGATACTGCAGCATGTCCCGGCCATGAGCCTTCACAAGTTGCTTCATATGTCTTCTTACTATTATAACAACGTCTACAATGTCTTAACCAATGTAAAACATTATGGCCTGGTGGTCCTTCAAGAAGGCCTTCAAGAGCAGTATGAAATATCTAAAGCCATGCTAATTCATTTCAAGGGTAACAGCTCCACTGGCACACAGATCTGCATGCTATAATTCAACTTATGAAACCAGATTGGCATTCATCCTTCGTCAAAGCGTTTCACAGCAGTGAAGTCACATATGCATTGATATTTTAATTGTTCTGGTTAATCATAAAAGTGTTTGAACTTACATTGCTTCTGAATTGTTTTCTCTTTTATATATCATTCTTTATTCTTTACCGCTTCACCTATCATCAAACTAATCAGGTTTTTATGTTGAACAAGTTGTACCTCAAAGCATCCTTAGTGGACCTCTTCATAGAAGATTAGTTACATTTTATATTTGTCGTCTGCTGGGGACTATATCAGATCTGATATAGACAATGGCTAATTAATTGCATTCAGAAAGTTTCTTTGATGTGATAAATACTCAAAATAGACATGTCCATTCATTTCAATTTTTCTAAGCTCAGTCTATTTTCAGATTTTGAATATATTTATTTTCATGTATTACTTAACTTTCTTGCTCCAGCCCTTTTGGCCTGTAATCAGCACGACAAATGGTAAATGCAGAGGTGTTGCTGGTAAAGCTCCTTAAAACGCCTCCATTCTACATGACAATATGGTTATTTTATTTTGTTCTCAGGGCACTGTATTTCATAGAATATATACATCGCATGACTCTCTTGTAACTCTCATTTCCCTTTTTTTTTAAATATTCTTATCCTTTCAGGAGTGCTTGAGGTGAACTTTATGAAGCCTACACACAACAAACAAGATTTTGAGAGGTCAAATCTTTATGACAGGCTTGAAACCCGCTTGAAAGATATGGCAGTAGAATACTGGTAAGCTCTCTATTTTCTATATATTTATCAAATACTTTTCAAGGTAGCTGTCCCCATTCTTTTATTTTTTATGTTAACATGAATAATTGCCTTGGCCTTTGAGTAGATTCATGTTAATCTGGCTAATGGTTTCCTTAAGAATTTGTTGGGATAATGGTATTGGACTTATTGCTGGAAAATATATATTCGTCAAGTAGTGAAGGTTTTCTAGGTACAAGTGCTAAGAAAACAGTGACAAAAATGATGGCAAGTTTAAAAGTGGGTAGAAGGAGAAAAATGTCTCTCGTTGTTTTTGTTTTAGTTAGTACTTGTTCAAGATGGTTATCTTGAAGTGAACGGTTATGGGACTGAGATCGCATGAGGTATAAACATCTGGTTTTTATCAGTGATCTACTAGTGCACATCGCTGAAACTTGATGGAGTGCATAATTTAATTATAAACTGTGACTAATCAATGTAAACTTTGTGATAGCATTCAACTTCACTATAACAGGCTTCTTCTCTCTATTCCTGATGCTTATATTATTAGTTATCTTCATCATGTAAATTAGCCTCGGGAAGAACGACCCAACTTTTTTCCCCTCTTCTTTTATTTTCTTTAATAATCTACAGTGATGCCTAATTGCGGCAACGTTTCAGCTATTGAGAGTCATTTACTACTTTCTTTTGATTGATCTTTTTAGCTATGACTAAGTTACCGTTATCAGTCAGTCGACAGAAACAAGCTGTAAGATAAGGCTTGTTCACACTGTATTTATTTAGTCCCAGGCAGACAATAATAAGCCCGTCATTCATGCCTCCATCACAAACTGGCATGGAAAGCTAAAAATTATATATATGAATATGCTACTGATATGCAACAAGTCATCCTACTAAGCTTTTCCTCCATCTTATCTTAAATTTGATTTGTATTGTCTGTAAACTTATTCGACTTGGAACAACTTGAACTATTGCTACAAATATTTTGTACTAGATTTCTACCAAAACATCATTAAACATATGATAATATTTTTCAGCAGTTTGTGGTGTTTGACAATATTCTAGGCAAAAACTTCTCTTCTCTTCCTCTGCCTTTCTCAAGGTGTGTGGTTGGGTGCATCATAATCTTCTGAGGTATAATAAAGACAATATTGAGCTGTAGATCGGCAAAATAAAGCAGCGTCTTATAAATGAAATCGTGAGAGTTTACAAATGAAAAACATGTCTGGATGGTAGAGGATGACTCAACAAAAAGTCTTCCACTATATTTTGGTTATTTGATTAGACAAATCACCATAGTCTTTATGTGTTTTTACTCTTCAAAAGAACTGAAACTAATCAGTATGATAACTTCTCACTTCTTCCATTTAAGACTTCAGAAAATGGTAAGTCTAACTTTGTTTATCATTAAAAAAAATGACAGGAACTACCACTGTCATTTGATCGGATTGAACCCACTTAAAAAACCTGGGCTTTCACCAGTTCAACCTTTTGCCCCTCAGATGCTTCAGCCAGGAAGACATAATGGGTTCAAGAGTGTCGTGTTTCCTTTCCAGCAGCTTTGTCACCCAGGAATTGATTGTCATACAAGAATGGAGGAGAGCTCTAATGTTTCAGGTGCTGAATTTCCCGCTAGATGTTCACAGGTCCCAGCAATTAAAGCTCATCTTTCAGCAGACGGACAGGTTGTTACTTCATCAACAGGACAGTTTACTGACCCCTGTGACGATCTGCAAACAGGTGCCTTTGTCTTGTTTCCTTTAGATGTAGCTGTGCTGTTTTACTTGTATTAATCTGTCCATTTGATGCACAATGCAGAACCACCTAGGAAAAGGAGACACGAGAACCATACTGATACCGTGGAAAGGTCAAAGAAGCAGGTGACACCTGGTGAAATTGCAGGCGGACTTGGAAGCAATCAAAAGAGTCAGGTAGGAACGGTGTATATCTTTCAACAGTCAGTAATAGCTTGTTTGAAACACATATTGCCAGTACATATGACTTTATCAGCACTGAATATTTTGATTATTCTAGCCAATTAAAAGTTTATATTTTGTTTGATCACGGCGCCAAGGGGTGGGGCAGGGGGGGGGGTGTTGAATTATGGCTTCCGGCAAATAAAAATATTTCAGTTAAGATTAAACAATTAACAGCGGAAGAAAATAAAGAGAGACAAAAGCACACCACAAACACTGAAGTTTTTACCTGGTTTGGCCCCTGCCTATGTTCACACCTTTATTTCACCGTGTGAGATGTTCCATTATCTAGAAATGTATCCGAACCCCCCAAGTTCGTCCGCCAAAATTAGTCTATTACACCTGATCCTACCCTGATTTCAATAGGCAACAAGCCAATACAAATTCTAGATATTCTCATCAATGAATCTGCCCTTAAGACTGAGATTCCAAGTCGATCAATCTATCATGATCAAAAGTTCACAATAAAAAAATAAACACAAAGAAACAGATACCCATCAAAACGTAGATCTGTAGAAATGGCTTTTAACCATCAAACTCTGTAGAGATCTCGTTGTCAGTGAGGCTTGAGGGTGGGATATTCTCAGATCTGTCTTGGACTTCTGGATCTTGAAAAGGAGGGATGCCTTTTGTTTGCTGGAGTCTTCTGTGTAGTTTTTGGTGGCTGTCCTCATAAGTATCTGATCCGCAATTAACCTAGAAGCAACAAATCTAGTTGGGCCGTTCATGTGCAATTTTGAGCTCATAAAATAAAAACTGTCTGTGCATTCTTCTTTCAATCAGGGTATCAGTTTGAACTGATTCGGTAGACTTCAATCATCGAAATCATCTACAATTCGGTAATATCCAGTCGAAGGGCAATATTTCAGTTGGAAGGGAAATATTTTGTTCCATGTGTTCTTGCACAACTCAATGAAAAAGCTATCAGATACGTTCTATAGTTTGTTATTTATCAAGTTAAAAAATATATCAGCATGAGTCAATATATCCGCCTATTTACTTATGTGCGGTTTGAGAGTCAGAAGTTCAAGAGATGCTGCGTATAAAATTTACTATTTGTTGGTCTAATTGCGTACAAGAGTCATTTTTCTAACATGAAAAGGTAATTAAAAGGGGTCATATTTTGTGAACCAACATAAGCCGTAGGGACTTGACTGTTGCCTAAAATTTGCGATGGAAGCTAAAAATGTCAATTATGTAGCTGAAGGTCTGTCTTTGGTGATTCGTTTTCTTTTTTAACATATGGCTTTTACATTCTTTAAGATTGATTTTGAAGATTACATGTAAAATCACATTTGTCACAGTTAGATCAACTTCATGTTTTATCTAATTTCTTTCAATTCTTGAGCATCTACCTTTGGTGTATGCATGCAGACATGCAAAACTTTTAGTGGTATCTGCTCATGATTTTTTTTCTTTTGTTGGCAGCTTGAGTTTAAAGATAAAAGAGGATATCAAATACGAAGGCTGAAAACAATTGTACTGGAAAAAAAGAAACTGGAAGCACAGTAAGTAAATAAAAAAACATCCCTTAAGGGTGGTCTTCATTCAAGGTTTGAGTAGTATGCTCTTACCTGTGTTTTACAGCAAAGCTTCCTTAATAACTCGATTAGTTGAGGGGCTGTAGAAGTTATCTGATGTGCCACTATTTACATTTAGCTCGCTTATAGGAGTGAAGAAGTAATGCCCTAGGTTCATAAGGACATTCTCACACTTTTTTTCCCCATATGTTGTCAGTTTGATCATCCTGTTTTCTAGTCTTGAAGAGTTTACGTGATCTGTGTGCTTGTTTTCTCAGGTGCCTCGAATTGGAAAAGATAGAGAAGAATCTTTTGATTAAGGTAACAAAGGCTTGCTATTTCATTTCCAAGAACCAGCTAGCGCAACTTAAGTTGTGATGGAAAACTATTTTGATGCATTTGCATTGTCTAAGTTTCAGGATCAGGTTTTACATAAGTTTAGCATGCCTAAAGGTCTTTTCCTATGGTTTTGATTGCATCATATAACCACAAATTAGGTGGCTGTTTACCACCAAACTGAAGTTTTTAAGTACCTAAAAAGCCCACAAAGCAGGGATTTTTTTTCTTCTCCAAACGAGCAAGATGGTTTTGCGTCTGTCAATTCAAACAAAATAACATAGTAATGTCAGTTTTTTTATTTGTTAATTTTCACTTTGAGGAATGGGAAAGAAATGAGTACACCTAATTACTCCACTATTTTATGTGCTTGAGGCTAGTGTGCTTTAAATTGGAAGCTTTACAATAAAGAGAAAAGTATCCTCTACAATAAAGATCTTAGATACCACAAGCTTCATTCACAATTTATTTGCAAATTTAAAGGTGTGATAATCATATGTATTCAAAAGCTTAGGGACGAGCTGCCAAGAGGTTCAGCAGTACGCATGATGGCCTGCTGCCGAGCTCAAATTCAACGGACAAGCAGCATCACATCACATTTTTGCAGGACAGTTTTTAAGGTAGGGCTTCTGTCAGTTCCAAGACCAGGAGGAAATGTGTATAGGTTCTTGTGTGGAAACTGTATATTTGTAAATTAGTGTTTAATCTTCTCAGTTTATAGGTTTTCTTGCACTCCCACAAAACAAAACAAAAAGAAGTGTAAAGAAAAGAATTGCGTATGGAGCGCACACGGGGTACATATTATCCTGTAAAGATCACATACGCCATGGGGGCAATGAAGTAGAAATGATACAGTGCTCTCTTAGTGATCATTCCTGTGCACATTAGGTGAAGTCTCAGATGGGTAAACCCTATTATAAAATACATGCAGATGATTCATTTCATGTTTGAGTTGCTATCTTCTTGCATTCTCTCGTCTCTGAATGAAAATAGATGGATGGGGAAGAAAATTGTATGAACTTTGATTTCATCCTCCAGTATATTCTGTGGTATTAATTTCTGATATGTTATTATAAGCTTCTGGTGGCTGCAGATATTAGTACAGCTATAAGCTGGTGCTCTCTTAGTGATCATTCCTGTGCACATTAGGTGAAGTCTCAGATGGGTAAACCCTATTATAAAATACCTGCAGATGATTCATTTCATGTTTGAGTCGCTATCTTCTTGCATTCTCTCGTCTCTGAATGAAAATAGATGGATGGGGAAGAAAATTGTATGAACTTGGATTTCATCCTCCAGTATATTCTATGGTATTAATTTCTGATATGTTATTATAAGCTTCTGGTGGCTGCAGATATTAGTACAGCTATAAGCTGGTGCTCACAATTTAAAAAAAAATTACACTTCATGTTATCACAGTGAAAGAACGAGTGAACACTAGGGTATCAAAGTGAAAATATAAAAGAAGGGGGGGTGGGGGGTGGGGGGGGTGAGGGTTTGCCATAATCAACTGCACAACCAGGTTGATTTCTGAATCAGTATTAAAGAGTTAGGAACCATACTGTTTCATGAATACAATATGATTAGACAGCTTCAAAATCATCCATACTTGAAGAACCATGGCTACAGAGATTACAATATACATATGCTGTTGCAAGTGAAGTTACATATATCGAACTTTGAGAAACTTCAATAATCTTAAATAAAACTGCTATTCAGTACCCAAAATCCAAGAAAAATTTTCACATGCTAAAGAGATTAGACAAGCACCTAAACAAAATGCAGATATCTCAACAGGAAAAAGATAAAATAAATAAGCAATGGATGCCTCAATTCAAGGATCTCAAGCACAAAACTGATATCTCAGTTTCTATCTGATCCAAGTGTTGAACTGTGCGCTCCAGAAAGGATCAATAGTCTAGTTCAATAACTACGAATTGGTAAAGCATTCCTCAGAGTGAAAATAATTTGCAAAAACCAAAAAATACCTTGCCAAATCACAGTTTAAGTTAGTAAGGGAACCCCTAAAGATAGGAAATATCTTTTGCATTTTGTCTCCAGATACGAAAAGAAAACATTCTCTATCAATTTTGTAAGTAGTATACAGGAAGGGACTTCACCCAAATATAAGAGGTGAAAATTTACAACATACAATGCTTTCCGCCTAATCTCTAATTTTCCTTGAAGAACATGCTCAATGGAGGGGGGAAATGGGAAAAAATAAAAGAAGGAAAAGCTCGCTCTTCAATTAGACGTATCTAACTCAACATAAAAATTCAGATAATCCCCCAAAATCACCACCTTACCATTGCAAAAGAATAACCAAAAGCATGTAATGAAACACAATCATAAATTTCCATCGGATTTAATCTAGATGAGGTTAGCCTTCTTCAAAAACCTGATAGTCCTGCAATAATATGGCCATATTGATTCAACATAATCAAGGTACTTCTCAACAGCCCATTCCTGCAGCTGTTTCATCTTTTTAGCAAACAACAGCTTGTAGTCCATGTTCTTAACATCTTCGACAGGCTTCCAGAAATGAAGATACAAATAAGCTTTGAGTTTCCCTTCAGATATGTAACTAGAAACCAAGTGATAGTAGGACGGCAAGTTCTTCACCAATCTAACAGCAAGCATGAAACAAAATGCATAGAGAGAGCACAGGCCCTGTATAATCTTTACATAGAGAGCAACAATCAGTGGCCCAAGAATCCACATTGGAGTTAACTCCTTTGTGACTTCAGCTCCATAAACCATTCTGACAGTCAGATAGAAAGGAATGCTGCAAGACAAAATGGTTTAAACATTAACACACAACAGGAATATCTCATATTGCTTCATTTCATCAAATTTCAAGACCATATCTCAAAAAGCTAAATCAGATGTCAACTTAAAAACACAGCATGTAACTTGTGCAGTCATTCAATGTAGGTAGAAAGGAATGCTGCAAGACAAGATGGTTACCACATGAGGAGAATCTCATTTTTTTTTCATTTCATCACATTTAAGGCTATCTCAAAAGGCTAAATCAGATTTAATTTAACACTAAAAGACAGCGTGCAGCTTATGCAGTATTTGAAATTCACTATAGCCCATTTCTAACTATTTGGTCAAAAGGTTATTCGGACCAAGGCCCCAGGAAAGTGAGTATTTTTCTTTTCACTAAACAACACCCTTGATAGGTATATACCTACATATAAGAAATAAAAAAAGCCACACATTTTTCATAATACAAAACCCAACAACACGAGCAAATCCTAAATCTAGTCATATCTTGTATCTCCACGTGACCATGTCATAATGAAAAAAACTCTAGAAAAATCCTAAACGGAAAAAAGAGAGATCCATTAGCATCTACAAAGAGCATCATTGCTTTTCCCAAAAAAAAGTATCTAATAATAAAGACTAAACTCTTTCATTTTCTAAGTAATTTCTCAATCCAAGAAAGATGATATGAAAACGAAGTGACCCTTTTTCTTACAAGACAAAGTGCCCATCTTAAAATCTAAAAGCCTCCAAGTAGAATTGACATGCCTTGACAGCTAGCAATGAACCTGGCATCAAGCTCCTTAGAGTTGGTCATAATTTTTTGTTCGAGAATAGTTGGTAGTCATGTATTGGGAGAATGAGCAGGTTAGTATAGCCTCATTGTGAAATAATTTAACAACCAGTGCCCTCCATTGTGAAATATACCTAAATCATGTATAGGTATATTTTCGTTGTAGTCTCTTTTTGATCCATACCTTGAATGCTAGTGTAAAGTTTATCTGTTAGTCTTCATAAGTATATATTTTATGGAGTTCATTTGGTTTATATATATTTCAAGCTACCTGTTGGTTTGGGTTCCAACACTAGAGACATGTAGGGTGGGTTCTAACCTAGGGATACTATTCTTCCATGATGTTATGCTTCTTAGGTAAATAGATGGATGGCAAGAGTTGTAAATAAATTGATTGCAAGAGGTGTAAATAGGTTGAAGACTAAGTCCAAGTTTGTAGTCCTTTATGACCACGTACAAAAAGACTGGTATTATTGGTTTAAGCTTCATAAATATTTGATTATTACACCCAAATCCAGAGTTTGAATCCCAAGGCTTGTAGTTTTACACAAAAAAAAATCATTTAGTCTGTTTTTTAACTCAAACCGACCCGATTGGATCCAATATTAGATTTCAGACACGTTTGACCCAATTAGGATCCAATACTAGATTCCAGACCCGTTTGAGTCTTTTGCTCACTAAAAATCAGTTTTTTGAGATTTCTATGCTGTCAAATTAAAACTGTTGGGCCCGCTTGACACTAAACAATTAAGTTAATTAGTTATTTTTCCGTTCATTAAGATGAATGAGGATATTGTTTGATCTCTTGATGCTTATTGGATCACTTGATGCTATGTTTGATCACCTAGTGACATTGAATAGGGTTGATTGTGTATGAAGACGACTTCCGTCAAGAAATATGATTCATAAACGTGTTATCATAGCATGGCTATACCCTTGACATCGACATCCCGATGTGAGGAGTTTCTCTTGATTACTAATATTATTATTATAGCATTGACTTATTATTATAGCATTGACTAGACAATGCACCATTTTTGATTGGATATGTTTTGTGTCACAATTATTTTTCATAAATTTTACGAAAGTTGTTCCACGGTGACTCTGTGGTTAGTGAATAATATTTCATGCACAATCACTTAAAATAAATCAATAAATGTGGGGTTTATAAAGGGAAATTGGACGAAGAATATAACATGTATATAAGCGGGTTTATGCGCATTCTTGATATTCAGAAATATATATAAGAGCTAAGGGCCCATCTTGACTTGAAACCGTGTTCCCGGTACGGTTTACGGGAACCCGATTTATATACATGAAATTATTCTTCTCTAATTTAAATAACACCTAAAATAATAATAATGTATTGTGTCTTGTGATAGACCTTGTTTGTTATCTAAAATTAGCATTTTCTTGTATTACCTTTAATTTAGAATTTCATTTCTTCTTTATACATGCCATACACACTTGCACGCGCATATTTTTCTTCATTTTGCATGCTTGTTGGGAGTTTTCTGACTCCCTGGGGTTTGCGTACCCCAGACTCGGGGACCGTTCTTTCTTCGCAGGACCGAGAGTATTTCGAGGGACAGGCTCAGTGGCAGTGATCACCATTGATTCTATCAGTTCTCCATTTCATTTGTCTTAGGTAGTGATTTGATTGAGACTATGATGTATTTCTTCCTTTTTCCTACTTGGGATAGTTGTGGACTTGTAGTAGAAGTCTTTTCAGAGATCTCCTTATCTATCTATTTCCTTTGTTATCTTAGTTACATGCTCTATGTTGTAGTTCTTGTTGGCAATATATCTGTATGCAGGATGATCCAAAGGCGTGAATATGACCGTATGGTTACATTGTCGGCCGAGTCATGTTCCAAACTATTACGTTTTGGAACCGGGGCGTGACAGAGTTAGAATTTTCAATGTCACCCACAAGCTAGAGGCAAGTAACTTCTATATCTCATTCAAGGTTATCGATAGCGGATAGCGTCGCGTAGCGGTGAGGTATCGCTAAGGCTATTTCGGGCTATTGCGATAAAATAACGGTAAAAAACGCAAAGTCAAATAGCGGTCTAATTTAGATATGTATAAATACTAAAAAAATTTAAAAAAAATCTGAAAAATCTAAAAGTACATATTGGATGATTTAAAGAGATCATAAACATGAAATAGACATGTGACCCTAAGAGGAGCTCACGATGAAGGAGGTGAGATGAAGTATTTAAGGTAGGTGCCAGAGGCTATGAGAGGTGGCGAGAGTATGCTGAAAATCACAGGAGACGGTAGAATGCAATGGTCAATGGTTGAGTTTAATTTAAAAAAAAAATAAGCCTCAAACCGCTTTTAAATAGCAGTCAAAAAGCAAATTTCGAATGCAATCGCTCACTAATAAGCCTCAAACCGCTTTTAAATAGCAGTCAAAAAGCAAATTTCGAATGCAATCGCTCACTATTTACTGTTATGACACACTATTGAATAGCAGTCAAAAAGCAAATTTCGAATGCAATCGCTCACTATTTACTGTTATGACACACTATTGGCCGTTTTTACGAACAGACATATTCCACAATATGTCACCGCTATTGCACAATAGCGTAGCGGGCGATAGCGTCGCGGGAAGGGACCGCTAACGCTATTAGCGCCGCTATTGCGGAGCTATTTACCGCTATTCATAACAGTGATCTCATTCATGCCAGAAAGACATAAGGGGGAGGGGGGCTACCTCAGCCTAACGAGACATAAGGTACAATTTTCGTCATGGCATGGACACGGTACCCACGGGAAGGGGTGGGGGATAGCTTGTTTGTTGAGCCAGTTAGTTTTTTCTGGGAATCTTATGCATAGGTGATTTTGATAATTATACATACACAAACGAACAAATACAATTCTCTTCCTATTTATATTATAGATGCACACATTTCAATAACTCTGCTTATTAAAAAATGTGTAGACAAACATAAATATACACATAATATACATGCACATAAACACATGCTTTCTTTCATATTTATAAATACACATTTAAATAAATCTTCACATGGATGAACTATGGTCTGATTATGCAGAACAAGATGATCATTAGTTATTTAAATGCAGAAACTAAAATAATAATGCACAAGAAAATTATAAATACAAAAATGCCATTTCTAAAGAAGATATCGAAATTGACATGATTAAAAGAACATCAGAGAAAAACTGAGAAAGAAAATAATAAAAAGGAGCTCCAAATTAGGTTCTTTCCTTTTCTCTTAAATATTCATTAATACCAATTATTTTGTAATTCATTGTGAAAAAATTTCACCCTGTATGACAAAAAAACACCTATATTTGATTCCTGTTGTTTCTTTCCATAGATAAAGTGTCTTGACTGGATCGAGAATCCGCCATTAATCGAGTTATGCCTATCTCTAATCATTGTTGCTTATAATCATGTTCCTTCCCCTAACTGACATTGATTAAAAGAACATCAGAGAAAAACAGAGAAAGAAAATAATAAAAAGGAGCTCTATATTACGTTCTTTCATGTCCTCTTAAATATTCAATAATACCAATTATTTTTTGTAATTTATTGTGAAAAAATTTCGCCCTACATGACAAAAATACACCTATATTTGACTCCTGTTGTCTCTTTCCATAGATAAAGTGTCTTGACTGGATCGAGAAAGCGCCATTAATCAGGTTATGCCTATCTCTAGTCATTGTTGCATATAATCATATTCCTACCCCCAACTAGCACACTTGTCAGTCTCCATGGCTCATTCCCGAATCAACTCAATCTGTTCACCCTTAGCTTTGCTTTCACCTATGTCACCTAGGTACTTCTAATATGAAGCCGTACCCGTACCCGTACCTGACACGTACCCGTACCCAAACTTCTTGGACACTCCTTGTATATATGCATACATATATTCGGGCATGTACTTAATTGTAAAATATATGTTTTAAATTAAAACACTTGTCATAAATATTTTGGACATATGTCCTACACTTCACAGCAACTTCTTCAAACTCGTTGGACATAGCTAAGGTTCCGGATTATATTTTAAAGGGTCATTTTGAATGTCTAGTCTAAAAAGTAAAAACTAGCGTTTTTCAATTTAAAACCCACATAATAAAAGAAACAAAAAAATGTTATAGGAAATTTAATTCTCATCATTGTTCTCATATTAAATTATTAATTCCAATATATAATACATGTGTATATAAATATTTATTTAGCCGTGTCCTCATACCTTACCTACCTTTTACGAATTTGTCATGTCCTGTACCTGTACCCCTACCGGTACCGTACACGCCCCTATGCAACATAGGCTTTGACGTACATACCCTTAGCTTAAATTCATAACAAATAAGACTCAAAGAAACACCTTGACAATTTTAATGTTACAAAATTGTTTAAAGAAATACAATAAAACTGGAAATAAATTATTTCGTCGAAACACAAACACTCATATTCAACATAAAATACAAAGAAAATCATTTTTGTTCAATGTATTTCATCAAACCACTAATGTTTGTTACAAAGGTACTTTATTTCACATTTAATATTAGCCGAAGCAATTGAAGGGAAAGAATTGATTTCAACCCCGCTGTACAACCATCTAGGAGCTAACTATAGAGGAAAAGTCTGTCAAAATTGGGAACCAAACTCAATAATTTTGTAAAAAAATGTAGGTTCTTGGCATTTACTCTTGTAGTATAGCTGTCAAGGTATACATTATCAACAGAATATTCCCGGATCTGGAAGAATGTGTCAGCTGCCCATGTGACGGAAACAGACATACTTCAAAACTTAAAACTACTTGAAATAATACTTTAACTCACTATTTGCTCATTAAAGAGGATTGCAGCGATCGATAAAAACTGCATGTTCACTTCTAATGATGACTGAAGTATCCAATACTATCATAAGAGAAATGGAATCATACAAAGATGAAGACATAAAAGAAAATCTTTTCTAAGGTAAATATTAACCAACATGTCCAAATGGAAACTTTTTGCTGCAGTAAATCATAACAGCTTAAAACAAAGGAATCGACAGGTTGATGTAAAAACTTACAACATCAATAGTGGGAGACTAATTGCTGCATCAAGCTTCAGGAAGTGCACTAGTGTGGATTTCAACAGTTGTCCTGCTTCCCCTTTTAAAGGTACTGTCTGATCTTCAGATGTTTTGCTTTCTGCCACTTTTTCACCCAAAACTTCACCTGCTGGACTAAATGTCTGTGTCCGAAGCATCAACAGCCACTTCCTGAATAGTTTCTGAATGGCAAGAGATCCTGCTGTTGTGTCCTCTCCATCTTCGGATGCATAGGACATTGGATAACTTTGTACATCAGGCGATTCTGTTATTATTTCTCGCTCCTCTTGTGTATGAGAGAATTGAACAGGAGTTTTGGTGAATTTGGAACTACCACTGCTATGATCTGATTCATCATTCTGTGCATTGCCTTTAAATGACAAGACTTTGAAAGGTTTTCGTTTTGACAAATTAATATGAAGGGGCCTGACCAGTAAAAAGAAGCAAACAAAGATTCAGAAGGGGTAATGAAGTGCGACACTTATAAAATCGAAAGTGAAATGTCTGTATCAACCATGCCACTGTTGTGAAGAGGTAATAAAAAGACCTTAAGTAGATAAACACATTTTTTAGCTAAATAAAACGACATCAGCATCCTATGAAAAGAAACACACTTTTCTTTGTGGTCACGAGTAAATCATATAGGCTTCAAAGATAAGCAGCCATGAAACCACATAATTCTTTATCTTACCTCAAATAGATGTGATGCGTCAATGGGATAAATGCAACTGTTTTGTCAACCAACTGAAAAGCTACAGAAGATCTAAGCTTCAACCCTTGGCTCCATGGTTTAGGTCTCAAGTAAGCAGTTTGATAAGGACCCTGAAGCACAAACAGTATATATGACAGTCAAACTCTAATTCTGATTTATAGTTGACAGAAAGCAGTATCATGACTTAGCAAATCAATCATAAAATCCTATTCCATAAAGAAGGGGCTTAAAGACGCAGTAGAAGTCAAGCAACTGACAATTTAATCAGAGAATGATGTTTGTTGCATGCATGCATCTGTTCAATGGCTGTAACATGTAAATACACATGTATTATATATGCCTATGTGCATATGTCTGCATGTTTACTGCTTGTGTGTCAGCCTCACATTAGGCCTTTGTATAAAAATGACAGAATACCAAAAATCGTGGCCTAGGAGACGAAGGTAGCGGAAAGACCAGAGAAAGAAGTAATAGAGACCAGTTAGCAGGTAGCATAAACCAGTCTTATTGACTTCAGTTAGATTCTTAGCAGGGAAGCAAATTCAAACTCCACTAGAAAATCAAAGGGTCTGGAAGAAATAGAGAAGATGAAAATATATGCTTAAGGAAATAGAGTTTAATTCTAGTCACTCTATACACTGAAAAACAAATGGAATCACATTTAATGTCTTAGAATACACATACATGCTGCTGATACCAGACAGTCTTGAGTTTTGTGTGATGGATTAGACATTGAATTTACGCTGAGTGAGACAAGATTCACGCTAACTGAGACATAAGCAGCAGCAACAACAACAACAACAACAACCAAGCCTTTATGTCAAATGTTTGGGGTCGGCTATATGAATCCTATTTTTCCATTCCATTCTGTTACGAGTCATCACCTCCGTTAAGTTAGTCTTAATCATATCCTTCTTAATTGCTTCTAACCAAGTCATTCTAGGTCTACCTCTAGATCTCCTAGCCCCATTAACTCTAATATTATCGCCTTTCCTAATCGGTGCACTAAAGGGTTTCTGTTGTACATGACCAAACCATCTTAATCTATTCTTTTATTTTATCCTCAATAGGCGCAACATCTAATTTACTACGAATGCACGCATTTCTCATCTTATCTTTTAATGTATACCCACAAGACCATCGCAACATTCTCTTTTCTGCTATACTCATTTTTAAACATATTATTTTTTTAATTGCCCAACACTCTGACCCATAAAGCATAGCTGGTCTTATAACTGTCCTATAGAATTTTCTCTTTAGTTTTATTGTATTCTACAATCACATAAGACTCCCGAAACACACCTACATTTCAACCATTCAAATTTGATTCGATGCATAACATCATCCTCTATGTCACCATCATGCCCAATGGTTGATCCTAAATAGAAAAATGATCAGTTTTAGGTAATTCTTGGCCATCAATATGTACCATAAGCTCTCTTTCCTAATTTTACTAAATATGCACTCCATATATTTTGTTTTTGTTCTACTAATTCTAAAACCTTTTAGATTCAAGAGTTTGTCTCCATCTTTCTATTTTAGAAATAATATCTCTTCTAGTTTTATCTACTAATATTATCATCGGCAAATAACATACATCATGGGATTTCATCCTAAATGTGCTTAGCAAGTTAGTCCATAACTAATGCAAAAAGATAAGGACTTAAATCTGACCCTTGGCGTAAACCTATGGTAATAGGAAATGGTTTAGTCCCTCCTTCATTAGTTCTTACTCTAGTTGTTACTCTATCATATATATCTTTAATCACATCAATATATATACCATGTTCTGAGACATAAACAACAAAAGTAAAATAAAGTACAAAGCTAACTTGCAGCTGGCATTTACCATGAGGGATGAGCTATCTGGTTAATGAAATAAAAAAAAAGCATTTATGACATAAATGGGGACAAGAAATCAGATAAATAAATAAAATTAATAAATCATTGATAATTCTATAACCACACCTGTGTTTGATGTGTTATCAAAGCCATAGTCGCTGTCTCAGACCCTCATTTCTCGTTCGAAGAAGCCTATAATTCAAGCATAAAATTACAAAATGTTAGAAATGCAAGTCATTCAGTTTTCAAGTAAAAAACATGGGAACATCAGATAGTTTTTCAGCTCCGAATACCAGACGAACACTAATTTATTATTAAGAAATGTTCCATACGCTCCAAATCCACAAAGTTGTTCAGGACACCCACTCTCTCAGCTTCATTTTTTAACCGACAAATACAACAAAAAGCACGAAGGACTTAAATGTTTCCTAAATTTCTAGCAAAAAAAGAGGGTGAGCACCTTATTTACTACCTCAGACCAAGGTTATAAGGCACAATGATAGGTTCAGAATGCCGAACAAAAACAGGAACATTAGAATGTTACAGGTCCCGGAAAACACGGTAAGCTGGTAGGTTATTTGAATACTTAATCAGAACGAAATCCATTTATCCAGAAATTGGAATGGAGCTTACAGAATCATGAAGGAGTTGTCTTGTTGTGCAAATATGTATGCATATGTATTTGTCTAGTAGCATAATGTTACAAAAGCTGAAGAGAATACATCTTCCTTGTTCCGAAACTATTTTGTCTTTAGCTTTCTCCTCCCACAAAAAAAATAACTTAAATGTAGTGGAAACATGGTTTGGTCTTCCCATACAAATTATTTCGCGGTCTGTCCCTTCCCTTCTCTTCATATAAAAAGTTTTTTAATCCCCTTTTTTTCTATTTTCACTAGCTTCATTAATTGTAAAAAAATTGAAGAATCACATGCATTGCCATCACAGGTTACCAAAGACTTGAGAATACATAAATCATTTCAAGAATTGTTAAAGACCCAAGATCCTTACTCATTGTGCCAAATTCCTAATGTTCTACAATTTGGTTTGTGAATGATCTGATTCTTATCCATTCCTATCCAATAATAAAGCTTAGCTTAAGTATTTTCAAATGTTCTCTCCATCGATTCAATATTTATAATTTGAGGTGATCCTTATGTCCATATAAATCCAAATCTTTTACGATATCTATAATAAAAACCAAGAAACGTACTTGGACGCCAAGAAATTGAAGAATCTGAAAATTTCCATCCCATATATTAAAAATAAACTTGACAAGATTCCTACGCAAGCAACGAAAGAGAAAAATATCGGGTTTTTATCGAATTACCTCGCGTGAGATCAAAAAGCTCGGAACTTTGGGAAGGGAGAGGATTAGGGTTTTCAGAGAGAGGGAAAGAAAGGGAATGGATAAGAGAAAAGAGAGCTAACAGCGAAAGAGGCAACGGCGAACAAAATTTTTACTAATATAGGGAGAAGGGCGGTCGAAGTAACATTGAGCACGTGTAAAGCACGTGCCTCCAGCTACCTCGTAATCGGGCCGAACTGTTAAATTGGTCTGACCCGTAGCCGTTAGGTGTTGGGCCTTAAATTCGGAAGCCCACTGAAACTATGGTTATTTGTTGCATAATTTTTTTCGAGCGCGTTTTCATAGAATATGAAGTAAAGCGCGTCTCTGGTCTGATCCCATCTCCCTAATCTGGAGTGTGAAAATGAAAGGTGGGACTCAGGCCAAAGTTTCCTCATATACCAAAAATAATCGCCATGCCTGGCCAAGGTTTCTCGCATATCCCTAAAAAATATTTACTACGTACTAATCTAGACAGTGCATAATGTCCCAGAAATTAAGCCTAAATATGCATAATTAAAATTGGAAAAATTCTTTAAGGACCCAAAATATGGGACCAATAGGGGGGACAAGTGAGGTGTCCCCCTCCTATTGGATAATGAGTTGGCCATCATTAATGATGGCCAACTCATTATCCAATAGGAGGGGGACACCTCACTTGTCCCCCCTATTGGTCCCATATTTTGGGTCCTTAAAGAATTTTTCAACCCATGTGAATATGGTCCCCCCATTTGAATGAGTGGAGGATAATAAGCCACCTCACTACCAAGCACAAATTTTGTGCTTGGTACCAAGCATACACATATTCCTCTATATATATATATATGCGTATGCTTGGTACCAAGCATAAAATTTATGCTTGATAGTGAGGTGACATATTATCATTCACTCATTCAAATGGGGGATCATATGAGTCAGTGCCTAGTACTGCATACGCCTAAATCCATCACACCTAAATCCGTCACAAGGTTAAGTTTCTATACAACACGACTTAAACCTGCTATACAATAAGTTATCAATATGCCATGTTCCTTACAAAACTTTCTTCTGAACAAACAATATCCTGGCGAAGTGTAGATTGCCAGAAGAAGTCCAATACGTGCGTGAAGGACTCCACATATATATCAGTTATCGACAGAGCTGATAATGGTCACCTTCTCTTTTGCACTCCACTTGCTCATCAGATGCAAAAGGTTTCTTCGCACGCACCCTCATTCTGCCTTAAATTCGTGATGCCTGAAAAACCCACCAGCCGCCCAAGATTCCGATTACATCGAGCTTCACATCTCTCAGTTCAACTTTAGCCAAGCATAGAATTTTGTAGTCTTCGACTTTGACATTCTTTACATACAAGAACTGCAAATATGGATTCAAAAATAATCACTGATCAACATTTAGCCAGGGTTTAGAAATGACACTGGAAATAAATGTATAAAGAGGTTTAATGATGCATTATAACTGCAAATAGCTTCGCATAATTGGGAAAAGAAAACATTCGGTTTAATCCTAATCGACTCCATACAAATCTAGCTCATCTAGTAATAGAAAGAAAAAAACATATTCGGTTTAATCCTCAAGGGAAAAAAATAATAAGAATTTGAAAATGACTTCCATCACTATTCCGCAGCAGAATATCAGATACAATCAATCCTACCTTTGTTTTTAAGGGGCTCGGATCCTGGTGCATATCCTTCCGACGCAACTGAAAAATTCAAAGTTAACATGTCAATGGAAAAGCAGACACTAGCTATATTTCATAAAATAAAGCTAAAGAGAAGTTAGAAAATATTGACTTCCAGAAATGTGTGTGACAAGATGAATCCAGTAGGTTGTGTTGTTTTGCTTGCTGACATACACATAACTGTAGGAGTGGAAATTAACCAAATAATTAGCAAATAGTTCGTTTATTATTCGTGTAAGAATTCGGTCAAATTCGATTGGATATTTCATTTAACATAAAACGAATAGTTTTTATTATTCGGTTCATAAACGATAGAATTTAACCAATTGTATATTCCATTCGTTTGATTATTAAATATCCATTTATGTTTTTCTACTTTGATATTATTACATTATATAATATTATCTTTTATGCTTGTATAATATTATAAATAATATTTTTCTACTCTGATACCAATTCTAAACAAGCATAAAACTTGTGTAAAATTAATAGAAAACATAAGGTATATCTTTGTCAGTTTCTGACTCAGAGTAAGATGATTCATCCTCTTCACATTCACTATTAATCATTATCTTATATAAAGTCTTTTTAAGACCTTCATCTTCTATGGCATCTATCTTCTTTTTCGTATAACACTTATTAGCATAGTGCCCTATTTTTCCACATCTATAACAGTGGATTTCTTTTTTATCTTTCTTTCCTTTAAAGGGTTTTTTATGTTTATCCCTTTTTTCTCTTTTTTCTTCCTTAACATATTTTTTCTTTTTCTTTTTAAAAGAAGAATGAGGTTTATTTTTTAAATTTATTGGTTCTTTATCAACTCTATAAGGTTGATCAAAAGCAAATTGTTCACAGAATTCACCTAATTCTTTTCTTTTAGTAAGTCTTTGAGCAAATTGTTCACAGAATTCACCTAATTCTTTGAGACTTCATTTGATTTTTTAATTTTAAATCATTACATAATGCTAATCCTTCTTTAATACAGGCATTTATTAAATACCCACAAGTAAGATTTTCATAGGAGATATAACCTCCTTGTTCATCTCTTATTTTATTTCTAACTTTATCAGCAAATAAAGTTGGTAATCCATCAATAAATTTGGATTTCCAATGGGCGCTATTAGCATTATCAAGCATCACAAATAAAGTTGGTAATCCATCAATAAATTTGGATTTCCAATGGGCGCTATTAGCATTATCAAGCATCATAACTCTACTTAAAGAAGTATCTTTATACCATCTAAAATGGGTTAAAGGACATCTAAAATTTTATAATAAAGTCCTAATTCTTTCTCCATTATCTTGATATAATCCGGTAAAAGGATGTGTTATTGTTAACATTAAAGTATAAATGACATATTCTTGTGCAATACCATTAACAATTTTTGTTGAATTTAAAATTTCATTTCTAGCATCAGAGGATAAATAATTATCCCACCATCCTTTAAGGACACTAGTAAATCCACATGAAATATATGAAGCAATCATTCTATCAGTATTACCGTTTTGTCAACATACAGTAGAATACATCATCATACGATGCATGGTAGAATATTTAAGATTATCTGATGCTCCATCTATAATCCACTCATAAATATTTCTACCATTATAATCACTTTGAATATATGTGTCGTTTTTTTCGAATAAAACATCAGGAGGAGTAGGTCTTTTATAATAATACCTCTCAATTCTTTTTGAAGGATTTTTCATTTTATTTATTGATGAAAATTGTTCTTCTAAAGTTAATAATTCATTTTGAGTGAACTCATCTTCAGATGTATTATCTTGAAGATTATTAATTTCATCTTCTGAAGAATCTGTTTGAATAACAGATGAAGTTGAAGCTACCATATTTAATTTAGAATTATTAAATTTTTTTGCTAACATTTCTATTATGTCAGAGGTTACTTCATCTCCTCTTTTAAAACCTGAAATATCTAGAGGAGGTTTTATCGTTGCCCTTTCACTATTAGTGTTAAGAATTTTATTAGTTTCTAATATTTTTAATGAAGGTATGACTTCATTGAATTTATTTATTATTTTTTCTAGAGCATCTTCAATTCTTATTAACTGTTTTCCTACAACTTGAAGATATAAATTTGTATAATTATGTTGCTTAACTATTTTATTTAACTCTTTTAGAGTTTCGTCATTTGACTCATTTATTTTCACGAAAGCATTAGTTTCTAAATTACTAGAGTGAATACCAGATATTTTTAAAGCATCTGTAGGAAGATAAATAGATCTTATATTCATTCCAGTGGCAGATTTCCACTGTTTATAATGTTCTTCTATCTCTAATTTGATTTTCTTGATTATGTATATAATACTTTAAGAACCAAGGAATAAAAAATTCTAATTTTTGATCATTTTGCAAGTCTTTATAATACTTGTCTTTAAAGTCTAGTTGTTTAGTTTTTGAGAAACTTTGGAAAATCCATTTTCTAATGTTTTTATGTTTTTCTTCTTGGAATTCCTTATTAAGGAAGTCTCTTATGGTTTTATTTTCTAAAATATTCATAATTAAACAGGCATTTTGAAGCTCATTTCAGAGCTTGTTGGAGAATTTCTCTGTTTCTCTTTACATAAAGCATGAGGAATATTATTCTCAGAAATATTAATACCTTTAACATCATTAGTTCTATAAGAACCTGATCTAGAAACTAATCTTCTAGATGTACTAGTTACGTCAAAAAGACGAATAGTTCTAGAAGGATTAAAAACAATTTCTACTTCTCCATCAACCGTTTGGGTTATTTGGTCAATCTCTTGAGACATGGATTTTTCGAGAACAATATTATTTTTCTCTATAATTTCTTCAATTAATTTGACCTTTTCGTCAACAATGATTCCATTCCACCATCTACAATAGTGATTTCTTTTGAGAATAGGAAGATGTAATTCATCCCAATCTGACTCAAAAGTCCATGTCCATATCCATGGAATTTCTGTTTCAGAGAAAAAGTATACAGCGTATAAGCCTTCGACAATATTATTGTCTTCCATTTTAGAAATAATAGGATGTGACTCCACCCATGCCGAATATAATTTAGCTACGGGTTCAGGTAGGATGCTTAATTCAGCACCATAGATTGTCCACCAATTGTAGAACCATGAAGAAAGACCCCTTTTAAGGGTTTCTGGACAAAGTTTTATCATCCAAGTATGCTTATTCTTGGGATTTTGATAGAGAAATATATTATAAAAGGCCTGCTTATAATCCCAATAGTTGAAAGAATAAACTTCTTTAGAATTCTGGGCCTTAACCAGAGGTAGATCTTGGTTTGGGTTTAAAGCCCATTTTCGAGGTAAAATGACCTCTTTAATAATGCATTTGCTAAAATTTGGGGGAATCGTTTTATTTTCAGATCCCCAGAAATGGGTTATTTCCATTCCCTTTTGTATAATCAAAGTTTTCATCCAAGATCTGGATTTTAGTTATAATGTTGGATAATAATTGTCATTCAAATATCTTATTCGGATATTTTCAGTATCTTGCATAGAAGAAATATCTTCTGGTTCTAAATATAGAACTATTTCTGACAACCTTTTAGATGACAGGTGTACATTCTGCTTCTTGTTTTATTATAGCAGAGAAAGGCTCAGAACTATTATCCTGAGTATTTTCATTAACAAGGCCTTTATAAAAGGCTTGAGATGGGCTTTTAGCTGGGCTTCCTGGATAATTCTTCTTTGCAATAGTTCTCCATGAGCTTGATTCAGAAATAGATCCTTCAAATAATTCATTAGGACTATAAGTCTTTTGAATATTTTGGGGGTTATGTCCCCTACCTACACTATCCTTTAACACCATTTTAGCTATAACAAGGGTTTACACTACGCGACTTTGATGACGTTCCATAGACTATTATACTAAGTTGATTCCTGAAGAAGAGAAAGAAAAATAATAATTTTACCTCCTTTTAGAAAATCTTACATAGATAAATCTGTAAAATCTTTATGTCTGAATTAATTCCCTCAACCTCTACTTTAAGTAAGACCCTTAATAAGGGCAAAAGAGTTAAAAATGCTCAAAGCACAGAATATACTTCTGAAATTGAGGCTTTAAATAAATGGACTATTCCTGCAATTCCTAATAGGGATATTTATAAAATAGGATTTCTAGATTATAAATCTTTAATAACTATAAAAACTTTAGATAGAACTACGACTCTAGACCGTGATGAACAAACAATACAGTTGCTTAGTCCTATTGATATTGATCCTTATATGGACACATATAATTATATTCACATCGGCCTAATACAAGTCGCATTTAGACCTTTGACCTTGCAAGGATTAAATGCATCTATATTGACTTGTTTAAGGGATGCAAGATGTTTAAATTGGACCCAATCTCTAATGGGTATTATGGAAACTAGTCTTTGTAACGGACCAGTTTATTTTAATGTCTATCTAAATTTAAATCTATCTTTGACAGACCCCAATATATTTGAAGCAGTGAGTTTAAATATAAAAACTCATGGTTATAATTTTATCTCAGGATCTGAGACTATAGCCATAATTTATAGAATACATTATAAAACATTAACTTCTTTAGCTCCAAAAGCCAAGATGCATTCTAAACCAGGAAAAATAGTTCTGGTACAGACAAATATTTTATCATCAAATATTGCTGTCAATAGACAGATTAAATGGGCTGAAATAAATTTCCCTGATAGTTGGGTCATACCTAACGCTATTCAACCTTAGCTAATTATTAATCAAGAGATTGACCAAATAACCCAAACGGTTGATGGAGAAGTAGGAAATTGTTTTTAATCCTTCTAGAACTATTCGTCTTTCTGACGTAACTAGTACATCTAGAAGATCAGTTTCTAGATCAGGTTCTTATAGAACTAATGATGTTAAAGGTATTAATATCTCTGAGAATAATATTCCTCATGCTTTAGATAAAGAGAAAGAGAGAAATTCTCCAACAAGCTCTGAAATGAGCTTCAGAATGCCTGTTTAATTATGAATATTTCAGAAAATAAAACCATAAGAGACTTCCTTAATAA